ATTGACTCCGGCGATGGAGAGCAATGGCGAATCGAGTGACATCAGAGGAAGGCATGAGAAGAAGATGGGGAGGGAGAGTGAGAGTGAGAGTGAGAAGAAATAAATAAAATTAGGGTTTGTAATTGAATTTGGTGAAAACATTTAATATATAATTATTATGTAATACCTGATTTTTTTATTAAATAAAATTTAGATCTGATTTTTGAATATGTAAACTTAAATGACTGGTTTTAATTTTCTCAATTTAAAAACGCTTGACCTGTAGGCTTTTGCTATTGTGTACACAGGGTGTACAAGTATCATATTGACGAATTCTTGATAAAATACTTAGCCAATTTTTTGTCTATGATGGCACTGAGGTTTCACTCAATCAGCCCACGAATTTGCACAATGCACACAAAGAAAGATAAAGGCAGCAATGTACAGGAACGCCGAATTTACGGGTAAAATCCAATTCGTTTATTACTTCACAATAATACAAGAATATGAAGGAATACTGAAAGAACACAACAACACACTGTGTCTCATCAGTCCAATCTTCAAAATGTATAAGTCAAAATTTGTGTGCAGTTAATACCCTTAACTTCCAAAGGGATAAACCAACCCAATAAGATTAGAACTGCCAGAAGCTGCTTCCCACAACATTTCCCAACAACTGTCCATACTTTTCACATGTATGGACCACGAAAACTGCCCAACACATGTGTCAAACATGTGCTTAATCTGGACACCCGAATTTGTGGACTAGAGTACACTAACATTAAGTTGGATCCGTCCATGCCTTGCAAAGCCAATTTTTCCCAATCTGCGGCACTTTGACATCGGCCAAATTGAAGCACAAATTGAAATCCGTATTTTCCTTGCTCCAAAATTTGAAGTGTGCACCATCAACACACTTGTCCGCAAAATTTCGGCTTGAGTGCAAGACATGCCCATGCCATTACGCGTGTCAACGTTTAAGGGGCTGACAACAAGCCAAGCCCTTAGAGTTCACAATTTTTTTATTAGATGTGGGTCTCCTTTATCGTGAGGGATATACATCGAAACGTCAATTTCAGTATATAATTACAAAATCCTTTACTTCTCCTACTATATAAAATAAAATAAAAAGGCAATGAGGAGTGTACTGTAGATGCAACAATAATTCAATCCCCTTCTATTTTTTTTCATTTCATTTTTTATTTTTTTTCGTGTTTTTTTTCAAAGTTCCCTTTCCTTTTTTGCCTTTTCTTCATGGAATAAAACGACACCGTTTCATTTGCAGTTCCAATACTAATCCTACTCTTTCATGCAAAGCTTCCTCTTCCTCTACTACACCATTTTTTGTACCATTCTTCTCTGCTACAACCATTGTTATAGAACTTGGAAAAGCCATACCACAACAGCTAGCCAATGTGGTTGGAGAACCTAAGCCTATATAAACCACACAAAGGAAGCCCATACTTCTGATATGGGATTCAGATTCCCATAAATCCCACTGGAAATCATGAAAAATCACCACGCTTCCGACTTGAAGTCCACGTCGAGCAGGTGCCCATACACCCTAAATGGTAATTGAGACCAAAAGACATGATGTCTGCTCTGATACCATTGTTATAAAACTTGGAAGAGCCAGACCACAAAGGCTAGCCAATGTGGCTAAGTAACAAACATATTAATGTTTCTCGTCCCCAACTGTTTCCCCCACCCACACTAGGGGTGGGCATTGGGTCAGGTCGAGTCGGGCCGGGTTTGGCCCAAAATCGACCGGACCAACATACTCGATTTTGGGCTCTTCCACGACCCGACCCGGTTTGAATCGGGTCGGGTACAACTTTAATTTTTTTTTTTCGCAAGCACTGATTGACTTAAATATTAAATAATACTTTTGCCTTTTCAATAAGAAATTTTTAACAAAATAATATTATCATTTATACAACATAATCAGAGCTACTAATTTATTCAAGATGAACAGAAGCTCATCAATGCCAAGAGACGAGAAACAAACTTCGACTGCTAAAAAAGAAATGAAGCTAGTTGACGGTATGAAAAGGAGAGATCTTTCCGGAGAAAGTTTGTTGAAAAAGAGTTTGTGGGCTTCTCGAAATAAATTCATAGATAGTGAAAAGGAGAATGCAGAGATGAATAAAAATACTACTATGAATCTTGAGAAGTTTAACAGCACTGAAATTGGAGACTTGGGGAACGCAAATAGTATAGTTGGCAGCAAAGAGACAAAGAATGTGGATAGTGCTAACAGCAATAGCAGCGACGTAGTATCGAGATTTTTGTATGACAGGCTTCAGAAAGAGGTTATAAATTTGAGGAAGTATTGTGAGTTTAAAGAATGCTCTTTGAATGCTAAAGATGAAGAAATCAAGGTAAAGTACCAGCAACTCCACCCACCCCCCAGGCACCTGCAGTGTGCTTCTTGCATTCTTAAGCCAGTATATTTGCTTTATTTCCAGATACTCATGAAGAAGATAGAAACCCTGTTAAAAGCCATACAAATAGAGTCTAAGAAAACAAAGAGAAAAGCTGCAATAAGAGAGACTGAGGGCGTGTTCGGTAGAGATTAAAATTGGATTAAAATTGAAAAACTAGCCGTTATTGTTAACTTTTATTAGACGAGTGAGACCCAATAACGACTATATTTTCAATTTTAATTGGATTTTAATCCCTCCCAAACAAGCTCTAACTCTTCTTATGTCTTCGCCTACCTCTTAAATANTTTGCCTTCTCTGGTCTTGATAAAATCATCCTAGTATCAGAATATGATTTTTTGAAATTACATTTAGAGTGTGTTTGGTAGAGATTAAAATCGGATTAAAATTGAAAAACTAGCCGTTATTGTTAACTTTTATTAGACGAGTGGGACCCAATAACGATCATATTTTCAATTTTAATTGGATTTTAAGCTGTACCGAACAGGCCCTGAAGTTTTTTCTTCAGATTAAAGATGGAGATTTGTGGAGAGGGAGGCTAGGTTTTGAAAAGAGGATTTCACGGCTTTGGAGACACGATTTCAAGGTTGGGAAATGGAAAATAGGGTTGGGTCGGTTTGCAAAGTTTTAAACTGTGACCCGACCCGATTCGATTCGGATCAGAGGTTTCGGGTTTATGGGCCCAGCCCTAATTGCTCATTAAGTGAAATGTTATGAATGTAAATGCCAATATTCGAAGGTAACAAACCATTTGCGCAACAAAATCAAATAAATTATTTTATAATTTTTTTCACATCAACTCGACAAAACCCTTATAAATAGAATAATGTTATTTATAATGAGAACTACTGATAGTCCTTCCATGTGACATATATCTAATTCCTTAAATTTTTTAATCAATAATGTCCACTATGAATGGTTTAAGGAATTAGATATATGACACATGTGCATGACTATCGATAGTCTTCCCTATGAAAAGAATTGATCTATTTTGCTTATGTGACAAATTTTAATTCACGTTAGTATTGAAGATAAAATTTTGAGGATAAATCTATATGTATATAATTATTGTACATAATGGATTACATAGGCTCATGTGGAAGAAATCCAGCCGTGGATGTGAAGTGTGGAAAAGTCAAAAATTGTAGACTACCGATGGATGCGCGCTACATGTCAATTATGTAATGTATTATGTAAATGATTATATACTTATATCACTGTCCAAATTTTGAATATTGATGCACGTAATTTTGCAATAACTTCATAGTTTAAAAAAGTCCTACCCATTTAAAAATGATGCAATACCTCCTCTATTATCTTTTTTGCCCTCGTTAGTTTTTCAATCTCCTCGAGTGCTTAGCATAAACTTTAATCCATGAGGTCACTCTTGAACGGTGAAGAAAATGTGAAAAT